AGTTTTATAATTGTAAAAATTTTTATTTGCAGTTTTAGGAAATAATAAATATTGTTTCTTTGTATTTTTCAAACAATAATATAAAGTATGATACCATAAAAAAAGTCATATATTATTTAACTTTATCGTTGCGACAAAATATAGTACAAAGCATGCATGACAAACGAAACATTTTANTGTGCAAATTATTAAATTTTTGTAGAACGTATAATACGTAAGGAANGAAAGTGCAGAACCAGAAGATTGTAATAGGAACTCCGATAAAGTATAGAAACCACATATATTTTTTTACCGAAATATTCTAAATACATTNCATAAATTCGCTTACATAAATAATAAAAAGAATACGTTACATCATAAGTCTTCAACCTTGAATACATTTTTATATTGATTTAAAATTTTATCAGTTATTTCTTTAAGTTAAGATAAAATAAAAAATGTATATTAAAGTTTTATTGTGTTACTAGAAAAGTTTGCAAATCATGTATCGGTGTAGAACTATTCGTGACTTGGTNAATGTTGCGTTATCGNTTGTTTTTCTCAAAGAACGTAANTACTGTTATGAAAACACACGCAGCAAAATAGCTTTAATATGTTGTTGACTTTTTTGACTTTTATCATACTATTGTTATCATGATATAACGTTATTTTGAAAATGTTACGTTTGGAGTGAGTGTAGATAGATACACATGAAATTTTTATACAAGTAACAAAACATATTGTAAAAAAAAATAAGTTTGATATTATTCAGTAGAATAGCTCGTTTCTAAAGGTATCATTATTAATGTCTCGAAAGTTCTACATGGAATCTAAGAAACAATAAAATAATAATAAATTTCTTAACTTGTGTGATAAGTGAGTACAAAAACAAGTATTATTTGTCATTCACAATAGTTTGCATCTTTTCGTTTTATACACTTAAACAAAGAATTAAGGAATGTTGTACCTCTAAAGTAGGGTAAAGTATGTGGTCCAGATATGTTGGCATTAAAGTAAGAAATGCTTCGCTACCAGCTGCTCTCATAGAAAAACAAGTGTGAGTTTGGAGACCAAATGCTTTAATGTTATCTGATAGTATTCTATCACCCCATACTTGCAAAATATTATTGTAACGGTAATCGTCGCTGGCCATGAAAATAAGATGCTCCACCGCGAAAGGAAGACCATCGTTATCAAATGTTTCTGTCACTGATACGAAATACAATAGTAAAAACTCAAAGTATTTGTAATGTTTATACTTGTTCAAAAATATTACGTAAAAACTGAAGGTTTGTTTTACAAAATGAAGTTTCGTGACAAAATGAAAGAATCTTCTATAATAAATACTACGATCAATTATATATACGTATGTGTAATAATGCATGTTAATACAGTACCAATATTAACATCTCCATTGATAAATGGACCGTGTGTTTCTGCAATACATACAGTGATGCCGGTGTTTTTGGATCTGTATGCATAAAATGGAATACTACCGTCGATGTTTATTGAGTATAACNGTTCGAAGTTTTNTGTATTATCTNACAANTGTTCTTCACCACACGACATTTTATTAAAAACGAATTTCGTGTAAAATTAATAGTCAATTATCTTAAATTGTAACTATAGACCAGTGACTGGTGTACGTGGCAACTTGTCGGACAATGCTTACTTTTTATGCACAAACAGAACTTTCGCAGTTAAGGTACACGATAGATATATTTTCGTAATATACAAATCCGTACATTGTAAGCTGGTATTTATAGTATACGTAAAACTGACGTAAGTTTCTTTTGAAATAATAGACGTTTTATTGGTTGCAAAAATGACCAATCGGAACATAAGCTTAAGACAACTTTAGATATAAGATTCGACTATGAATACCAGTCGTAATACGACAGAGAAAAGTACTTTTCTTAAGAATATTTACTTTTTAAGGCCGAAGCACAGACTTTTGCATAACGCATAATGCATAAAACGTAAGAAAATCAATTAATCCAGCTTTGTGTTTTTATCTCTATTTCTTGTTATAGAAAGCTTTGATTGGTTGATTTTCTTATGTCTTATGCGTTATGCATTATGGCTAGTGCCAATAATCCACAAGTAATGATGGTTTCATTTACCAACATGAAATCGATTTAGGAATAGAATGTTTCGTTGGGAGAACAAAAAGTGCTGCACCGTAACACGTTCGTTTTTGCGGTGTATGGTGAAACATTGACTTTTACGGCATTTTGAGTTCTTTAAGGTTTTATTTAGTTGTTTTATTTCAACTGTAATTCACTATGCACTTTTTATTATTTTGCCAATTATCACTCAACGGTATATAAATGCCGAATTAAAAGATACAATTTCAAATAAAACTATGTTATTCTATATGACTGAATTTGTACTATTCTTTGTCGCTTTTACGAAAAGATGTTAAAGTATAAAAAATGTTGAACGTCGCAGAGCCAATACAATTTACAAAATATTTAGAAAAAATGTCGGTTTTTTTACTTAAAGCTGCAACAAGCAATGTTGCGTCTTCATAATGGAAAGACCGAAACATAATTGCTCACGGATACGTTTGTATATGGATGCAATGTAATTTTGTTGCAGCGTTATTGCAAAATTGACTTATAGCGTCTGGCACATTGGAGTAGCGACACAACACCTTACGCGAAAATACGCTAGGTATGAGATAGAGGGATGGGTGCTATTATTAAGACATTTACTTTTTTATCTATATAATGGAGAGTTTAGTCTTTAAAGAAAATTAATTTTTTTAAGTCTTACTTTTTTAAGTGTTCGAAAGTTTATATTTATTTACTTCGGACAAAAACGAACTTCATTGAACAAGATGTACCATGACACGTTTAGAGTTTATTTAATCAAACTGGGTGTATTTAAACTACCAAATAGACGTAATTTGATAAACGCTACTACACATGTTTAAAGTGGAATTTAGACAAACAATTTAGTTTTTCCGAATTAGAAACATGATTTCGCTGTGTTAATACTAAAATGTGCGACAGGTTAAAAATAGTCAAAAATATATACCACTAAAAGCGTTACTATCCGCAGAACAAAATTTATTTTTTATCCAATCATGTTACTGTTCTAAACGTATATACAGTACATACAGAATTTACTACATATTATTTATTACAAAATAAATAATATTATGCATATTTACTATTACATACTTGTTACTATAAAAATTAAAGTCATAACATACGTCTTACATTGTGTATCTGTTTAATAAATAGTTTTTGATTTAAAACAGTTTTACACATTTTTTTAATTAACCGTTAAACAATACACATATCACATAAGACTGTAGAAGTTATACATCTTTTAAAATTCTGCTTTTAATACAGTTATATACTTCATTGGAGCTTTTATATACGGCAAACTTAAACTTCATTCTGGAACAAAATAAATACAGGTGTATTATGTATATTTTAATATTTCTTAATATAGCAAGTTGCAAGAAAACTTAAGATACATATTACACTTACTTTTGGAAAGCCTCTATTATTTTGGCACTTTCTTCAGTATTACATACAATGGCACTTTTGCATTTTTCTGGGTCAAACAATGGTTTGATGTATCGAGTTGTCACACGGCTCATGTCATCTATACTAACGGCGTAAACGCTCCGTACCATTTGAGAAATATAATCATGTGACATATTTTTACAGTAAGACGTCAACGATGCATTCATCACATTCTTTATGGAATGTACCATGTTGATATACTCCGAGATGAGTGACGATTTAGCTTTTTCGTAAAAATGGAAGATAAATTTGTTTTTACGAACGTGTGCATCCTGCGACAAAAAAGGAACAATATGTACTGCCAAAAAAGTAACGATAAAAACAATTTAAATTCTTGGACTTTCTTAAAGGATGTACGTATATATGTCGACATTTGCTAATAATCGCAATAGAAATAAATATTGTACCACTGTGGATTTAATTTTGTTGTACGCAGCTACTACGTTTGTAGTTGAAACCAACTTTAAAGTTAAGTTCCCATCGTCCACCGTCGTGAAAAGATTGAAGTCAGCAAGCTCTTGTCGAACTTCCCATAAAGGTCCCTACAAAATATCACACATACATGAAACTACTGTTTAATACATTTTCTGCAATTTTAATAAACAATTATTACGTGCTTACTTCTTCTTGCGTAAGATAAGTCAGACACACTTGCAAAGCTGGCAAATCGGAATGTTGAAAATCATTTATGCACGGACAAGATTGAATTAAAACCGTAGTATTTGTTTCAACTACCTCCCTTATATACCCGTTGTAAGTAAAACTAGGAGAAGGCGTACGGAAGTTTGACTTAGAAGTGATGTTAATCCTGAAATTGGAGTAGTAGAAATCAAATCTTTTACATTTGTATGTATCACTTCTAGATCTAGTCGTGTGAGTTTTTTTATTCGTGTCAATCACGAATCAATGTAAGAATCGAATGAAATAAACGTACAGCTGGTTATTACTATAATAATTTCTTACAACTGTTTGTTTTAAATTTAAATGTTTATATTTTATTTACTTCGTTTTCTCAAAGTTCATAAAATCTGCAAAATATTTAGTCCATGGGGCATAAACATCTGAAACATGTTCCGTTAATTTATCAACATTGACGCCCATGTACATAAACATATTTTTCGGCGAAGTTAGCGCTTGTCGAACAGATTCGATGTGTGCTAACACTTCTTTCTGCCCTACATCGGTATCTAGGCGTTTTTTGACAGTATAGAAAAACATATACTGCCACAACGAGCTGAATATAACCTGGAAATTGCCTGTTAAAAAAAAAAACACTAATAGTGATAGCAGTATGTGTATTTGTAATGAAAGTAGTAAGTAAAGTTTTGGCAAAGGTACCGTCCGTGTATAACAATGTATCCATTAAAGTCATTGCAAATACTTCATCTTTTATGTTTCCATGTTTGTCTAGTAATCGTGTTAGTGCTATTTTTAAACTTTCGACCGTTACTATAGTTTCATATAAAAACTCTTTACAACACTGTACACTTTTTTCATAATTTTGTAATTCAACCTATACAAACAGTTAAGTGTATAAAATCTAGAATTTACATGTAGAATATATTTATNTCACACAATTTTGTTTCGNAAGNNAATAATGAGAAATTACTTCTATATTACCTGAATCAGTAACGACAGAGTATGAGCATTGTGCGACAAATCGATGCCACGAGGAGAGTGAACTTCTATATTATCAGCAAGTAACAAATCTTTTAGTTTTTCGTTAGAAATCAGTTGATTTCCTCTATTTACGGGAGATTCTAAAAGTACTTCCGCCAACAACGGAATATAAAGTTTATTTTCCAGACTAATAGAAGAAGTATCCATAATAACTTGTAACTGAAAATGAATTAAAGAAGTATTTAGTATAAATATAATGGAAACATAAATATAATAAAAAAATAAATAATTAAACATAAATATAATAAATATAAGTTTAGCATAAATATAATAAATGTAATTTATTTACAATGAATAATAACAAAAAGTACATGTAGATATTTTGAGTATTGAAAATGTAAAAATAAAATAAGTACATTTTTCTTTATATAAGAGAAACACAAAACTGCAAACTACGCGAAATTTTAAACGGTCATAAAAGGAATAGAAATGTTTATATATATATTTATTTAGTACAGAACACAAACACTTTGTTAAGATTTTATGACCATCTAACAGTTTGCGTAATTTATACTTAAAAGAGCGTAGAACTCATTATTCTTAATTCTTAAACACATAAAGTATTACTTGTTAAATCTTAATTATCAAACACTTAAATTGTAACAAAGTAAATCAATTTATAACTTGGTGCAAAACGATACCGATACGAACAAAAACGATACTCACATAAAAGAAATTTGTATTGACATGATCTAAATAGGTAAAGAATGGCAGTCTTTTAACATCAAATTTAGGATGTTGCTCGAGCGTTTTCGTGTTATATCTCAGAATGTCATGAAAAGTGATTGATTCTATGCCAGGTATACTCATTTTTGCCCATACTTCTTTAGGCACATCTTTCTTAAAAGATGAAAAAATCGAAGAGATTGGTAAAAGTGTCAATATATGAAACATTTAGTGTATTTATAGTATAATATAATTTGTAGCATGTAAAGAAATATTTAAGTATACAAATATATATACTTTTACTTCTTTGATAGCCTGCTTAAGCTCTTTTTCTTTTTGCTTTAAACCTTTTTGGCCGAATTTTGTGATTTGCTCGGCTACATGTTTTTCTTCTTCTTGCAACTTAAAATACTCTTCAAAACTGGGTTTGCCTTTCACGATAACCATCGGTGCATCGATAAAATACTGTTTAAGTAGATCTAAAAAATGTTGTTTAGGCTCGTTTTCCAAGTTTTCTATTTCGCGTAGAATATTCTTTAACCGTTGTTCTAACTAAATGTAAAAAAAAAAATTTAAATTACTTACGTACGTTAAATAATTCAAGTAAAAGTTTTTAGTAATGGAAAGATACCATACGTACATTATCAATGTTTTCGTATACTAAACACTCAAAAAGAAACGTTGCGATCGGTTTATGCGGATCTAGTTCAAATTCATTTCGTTTGTCAAACAATGATTTGCGAATTAAGCTTTTCATCGTTTTCATATTTATACCAGTGGTATATACCTCTTTTAGTACCTCATAAATAGACTGTTTTGTGATCGAATCAATGTAATTTATTGGTACGTTTTGAAAAACAATCTCCAAATATGGAACTGACCATTTATCCGAAAACCATATAATATGACAATGATCACTGACTTTACCAAAGATTGTTCTTAACGGACTATCGTTTGGTCTCGTGATATATTTCAAAAGTGCTAGACAACTGGTATAGTCGTACACTTGAGTAATTGCTGACGGTCCCCGCCAGGCAACATGTACTTCGCCATAGTTTGCGTCCATGGATGGAAAAATGACTTCCACTTCTGCGCTTTTCTTGAATGATTCAATTGGATTTTGCCAAGGTCTCTCAAATATATCATTTCTTTTCTACAATTGTGCAATAAACTTAAATTTTACGAAAGTAATAGAAACCTGAGTACATAGGTGTGCTTTTGTAAAACAAGAAACAGAGTAAGTGCAACAACACGCAATATGTTTTGGGATGCATATACCTTCGACATTATTTTCTGTTCTAAAGGCTCTAACGCTTGAAAAATATGATTGTGGGGTATTTTGCCCGTTATCAATATAGTCAAGTTTTCTGGCCTGTAGAACTTTCTGTGAAACTGTTTGACTTTTTCATTATTAGTACTTTCGCGCAAATTTTTTGTTGTACCTATAAATACAAATAAAAATATTTTCCACGTACGTTTTCAGTTTGAAATAAACATATCTATACATATACATATACACACACAGGCAGATGTTGGTAGAACATTTTTTTACCTGTTATAAATGACTTATATCCACATTTTCCTGGATAGAGAAATCGTAAAATTTTTTTATGTAACATAAAATTTGCTGTAAGTTCCTTAGCCTGGGTTTTACAATAAACTGTACCGGCATTGTGGCCTTTTTCAGTAATATGATGTACTTCTACAAGATATGCTGTATCCTAGCGAAACGTTCAAAAATAAATAGTTTTATAATTGTAAAAATTTTTATTTGCAGTTTAAGAAAATAATAAATATTGTTTCTTTGTATCTTTCAAACAATAATATAAAGTATGAAAACATAAAGAAAGTCATATATTATTTAACTTTATTGTTGCGACTAAATATAGTGCAAAGCATGCATGACAAACGAAACATTTTACTGTGCAAATTATTAAGTTTTTGTAGAAAGTATAATACGTGGAGAAAGAAATTGCAGAACCACAAGATTGTAATATGAATACCGATAAAGTATAGTAACCACATAATTTTTTTTAACGAAATATTCTAAATACATTTCATAAGTTCGCTTACATCAATAAAAAGAATAAGTTACATCATAATTTTGTAACAGTGAATTCACAATTTTATATTGACTTAAAATTGCATCATTTATTTCTTTAAGTTAAGATAAAATAAAAAATGTATATTAAAGGTTTATTGTGTTAATAAAACATTTTGCAACTCATGTATCGGTGTAGAATTATTCGTGATTTGGTAAATGTTGCGTTATCGGTTGTTTTTCTCAAAGAACGTAAATACTGTTATGAAAACACACGCAGCAAAATAGCTTTAATATGTTGTTGACT